TTTGTTTGTTTGTTTTAAATGTATTCATTTATGCATACAGAGCTGGGGTACAGACCAGAGTCTCAGGGAGGGCGAGAGGCTTCACCAGAGACAGAGTGAGGAGCAGAACAGGCAGATCAACGAAGTACACTGCTGAGAGGAGCAGCCGGGAGGCAGGAGAGGTCTGCGGAGCCTGTGGGGCACGTCCCTGGCTGGGGATGGAGCTGGGGTTAGCCGTGCAGTGAGGCGCTTTTAACCGGTTGCGCCACCAGAGGGAGCCCTCGAGGGTACGTAAACGCGCTAGAGATAAACTCTTGGATCCCGGGACAATCGCGGTCGACCAGAGAGCTTTGTGCTCTGCTCTGCTCTGCTCTGCTCTGCTCTGCTCTGTGTGGCAGATGGACAGTGTTAGGTGGGTCAACTCGCCCTCACAACGCTCTCTTCTTTGAAGGAAGGGCTACTAACAACCCACGACGTCTACAGATGGTGAAACAAAGCTATTTTGCTGACCAAGGACTTTCCCAGGGTGGTGGCAGCGGTCACTGGCAGTGGGACACGCTGTGACCCCACAAGCTCTCTGAAACCCACCTGGGGCTAAGCGGGTGTAGGCGGCAGACAGAGGGGCGTTACAAAAGCCCCTGAAAGCCCGAGGTGACCGAAAGCATCGCACAGGCCTGCATCGCAAATCCATTCTAATACAGGTCATTTGTTTTCTTTCATTTTCAAGAGCTTATTTCATTTAAACAATTCTAGGGCCAATAAATCTTGGCGTTAAGGCCCATTTGATGTGTGATGCAGACAGTATAATGAAGGGTAAGGTATTTTATCAGCTTCTTTAAATTTTCTTTTCTCTGGTCTACGATTTTTTATATGGGGTTGATCTATTTTTTTTAATTCACAAAGGCTTTGTTCCCATTTGTCATGGTTGTATTAACTGGATGTCTGAGGAAGACTTGGCTGTGGGAATCTGCATCTCATTTATCCTCAAGAACAAAATTCATAAAGCAGCAGGAAAATAGCTGGCTACCCTGGAAGTTCTTTAGCTTACCCTGAATCATCTAAAATATATCTGGCTTGTGTCTCAGAAGTGGGGCTCAGCTCTAACACCCAGGAGACAGCCTCCAATGTTAACTCCATCCTCTGACAGCCTCCACCCCCATCTGCTGCCCTCTCATGGCTTGGAGGACATAGAAGGAGCTTGTTCCATTCACCCTCTTTAAACACATTTTCTCAGAACCTTCTAGAAGCCATACTCAGGGCTCTCGAACGTGCAGTCCATGGAATATACCCCACTTGTGGCCAATACAAGAAGTTCTCGGTTAGCCAAGTACAGTGTTGGGAACCAGCTTATTCTCCTACCTGAGATGATTCTCCCAATTATATTTCCTATTAATTAAGAGCCACGAGACGTCGGTGACACCATAGACATTGACTGACTTGAGGCTTTATGGATAAGTGAGTGTACTGATTTCCCATTTCTCAGGGCTGGCACAACAAAATGAGTGGCTTCAACAACAGAAATGTGTTGGCTCACAGTTTTGGAGGCTGGAAGTCCAGAATCAATGTGTTGGGCAAGCTGCCTCCTTCCACAGGCAGTGAAAGGATAACCTGTTCCAGGCCTCTCCTCTGGGCCCCCAGATGGCCATCTTCTCCATCTTTTCATATCGTGTTTTCTCTGTGGGTGTCGCTCTGTCCCAAGGTCCCCGTTTGAGACGGACCCCAGCCATACAGAAGGCCCACCCAGAAGACCTCCTTTTCACACGATGGCCTTTGTAAAGACCGTGTCTCCAAATAAGGTCTCTTTCTGAGTTCTGGGGACTTCACTATGTGAATTTTGGGGGACACAATTCAACCCGTAACATTGAGTGGCCCTGAATGGTTCAAACAGTATCATTGGAACCCTGGACAGCAGGTGAAACCTCCAAAATCCAAGTTCTAAAGTGACCTCCCCAGCTTCAGCTTTCTTCTTTAGAGTATGAGCCCCCAAGCCCTCTCTTGTCTTTAAGACTGTTCTGAAGACGTGAGAGGGTAGTCGGGGGCATGGCGAGGCTCCACCACCAGCAAGCGGGGCAATCGTAAGCAAGAATTCATCTCAGCCCCCCTTTTGGTGCAATGGGTTATAGCACAGCACTGGCCACAGCTGGTTCAGCACGAGTCCAATCCCCAGCCCTGGAAATGATCCACATGGCACAGCAGACTTCTGTCTCCCCTCTGCTCCCCTCAGCAGTATACATCGTTGATCTGCCTGTTTTTGTCCCCACTGTCTCTGGTGAAGCCTCTCACTGCCCCTGCACCTCTGGCCTGTACCTCAGTTCTGTGTGCATAACGAAATAAATCTTAAAACAACAAAATATTCATCTCCCAGGGCTGGGGCTTGTGTCACTGTAAACGGGGAACTGTAAGAGCAGCGACTTCACAGAGGTTGTGAGGACTCACATGGCCTGTGAACTGGGTCTGACCCATGGGGGCATTGCTGCTGGGACACTGAGAGCCGAAGGCCATGGGCTGTCAGGAGGCAGATGCCCCCAGGCCCTGTCCCCAGCACCTCTGGGGACTGAAATGATTCAACCGACAGAGTCTTGGGGACATTACAGTGTGCTTTCCTCATCTCCACTTAGGCGATCCCCTCTCGTTCTACTCACTTTTTTTTCTTCTTCACAATTATAACGTCAGGGCTAGGATCTCAGGTGACTTTTTTCCCTTAATATATTTTGTAACTTTTAAAGCATAGTGAGACCAGTTTAACTACCCCGTCTGGCACAGTTTTACAGAGACATCAGGAGAGGACCGCCCTCTGGCCTTGCTCGCCCCAGGTCGGCAGCCATCATGGCTTCTTTGCCTTCACTGATTGTAAGACATTTAAGGAAATCAGTGGGTCTGCTTGCCCAGGTATTAACTCCCACAGCCCCTCTTATATAGCATACCTATATAATGTACCTTTTAGACTCCTTCCTACAGCCAAGGGAGCCCCAAGGCTCCAAGGTCCAAGGTCCAAGGTAGGCAGCATCCAAGCCTGATTCGACCCTAGATGTGATTCGACGTCGTCCCATCCCAAGGCCCCAGTCTTGTTATACCCTCTCCAAGCCGCTCGTGCCTGCCTGCCCTCACGGGAGCCTCCGCTTCAGCGGGTTTCCGAGTCCCTGGTGCCCCCTGGTGGCACATGAGGGTCAATTCCCCAGCCAGTCTTGGCGCTCATGCCACCATAAGCCCGGACCTTAGCAAGCGCCTGCCCTGCGTGACCGTGGAGTGGGGTCTTTCAGCCTCTCCCAGAAAGGCACTTTTCAAATGGACACCACCCCCCACCCCCGAAGATCCTGCTCCTAAAAAGTCAAGAAGAGAAATTAGGGTCACTTGGGCCAACAGCAGTGAGATGACCAAAAAGTTTAGCTTCCCCTCTGTCTCCCACCTCCCAGGCAGGACGCGTGGGCACGGCATTCTCTGATGCCCCCGCCCCCACCCCCCAGCGTCACCCTCCGTCCCAGGATGTTCGTTTTCCCAGAGCTTGTTTATGGAAGAGGAGAAATAAGAGGTTAAAGGTAGTTCAAGTTCAGCACTTCACTTCAAGATAAAGGTAGTTAAAGGTTAAAGGTAGTTCAAGTTCACTTCCTACCACACAGTCTTTTTCCCATCAAGATTCTTCAGTAAATACTTATTGGATTCCTGTTGTGCTCCATAATGCAGAAATGGAGAAGACATAATAGCTGTCTTTGAAAAGTAAACATATAATAAATTACACTACAGTGAAGCCAATAATATAGCATGGGTTAGATCAGAAGCCAATAATCTAACATGGGTTAGATGGGAACTTTCCCCATCACCCAGAAATGGCCATCAGCACTCAAAATGAAGACTAAAGAATCAAGGACACCCCCTTTCCCCACCCCAAGAAGAGTGTAGAAAACACTTCCCCCAACTAACACCCAGCTGCAGCACTCCTAAGCAATGGAGGTGGGGGGGTGGGTGGAAGGGGAGGTTAGGAGGAAAGGGAGGGGAGGGGAGGGGAGAGAAGGAGACTCCCAATACAATACACTGCTGGTGGGTTGTTAAGGGGAACAAAGGGGAGGAAGGGTTGTAAACCAAGTGAGAGCCAAGGCTTGGCTCTGCTGGCTGACTCCAAGGATGTCTTCACCGCAAGGTGGCCTCCTCATCGGTGTCTTCCTCGAAATCCTTGACATCAGCACTGGTGGACTGCCTGGCCCAGGCTCCTCTTTCGGCCTCTCGCTCTTTATGCGACTTGAATCTCCCCACGAAAATTTTGCGGTAGTTCAGGAACATGCCATTCATCGCATCGATGGCCCGCTCGGCCGACTCCTGCTTCTGGAAGTGCACGAACCCATAGCCCTTGGGCCCCTTTTCGTCGCAGGCCACTTTACAGGAGAGGATGTTGCCGAACGCAGAGAAGATGTTATACAGCGCCTTGTTGTCGATGGTCTTGCCCAGGTTCTTGATGAAGACGTTGCCCACCCCGCTCTTGCGGAGCGAGGGGTCCCGCTGGGACCACATGATGCGCACCGGCCTGCCCTTGATGACATCAAAGTTCAGGGTCTCCAGGGCCCGCTTGGCGTCCACCGGTTGCTGGTAGTTGACATACGCATAACCCAGCGAGCGGCGGGTGATCTTGTCCCTGCAGATGCGGATGGAAAGGATGGGCCCGGCTGGGCTGAACTTCTCGTACAGCATCGCCTCCGTCACCTCGGGGTGCAGGTCGCCCACGTAGAGCGAGGCCATGGGAAAGTCTGGGTTCCCCTGGGAGCCCCCTCCCACCTCCGCCGCCGCCGCATCTGTCTCCGCGGCCGCCGCCTCGGCATCCGCATCCGCAACCGCATCCCCCAAGGGGGGCGCCGCAGCCTCTCCTCCTCCCGCTGCTGATGCTGCCGCTACTGCCGCTACTGCTGCTGCTGCTGCCGCCGATGCTGCTGCTGCTGCTGCTGCTGCCGTGGCTGCGGCGGCGGCCGTGGTCCCGCTGGCCTCCGCCACCGTCGCG